TCTGCCTGCCCTGCTATGGAGTGTGCAGATCTGAGTACTGCTCTTCACCTTTTATTGATACACTAGCTACTGGTGGGCATGAGAATACTTGAATCTTTATACTATAAACCCTCCTGTTAGTCTTTCTACAAGACAGTCCATCTGACTATCCATCAAGTATCTCTTTAGAGTAGTAGGTAGATGTGAGATGGCACCATCTGTTGTTTGTTGTTTTGGAATCCACAGCTTTTTGACTAGCTAGATGTTTTGAGCTTATCACAAACATATTTTGCTGAAATACATGAAACAGTTAATTTCTAAGCAAGTTATTGTGAGTGAATTCATTGATCTGACTTCACTCAGAACCTGGAATGCTCAAAATGTCTTCCTAGCTACCTGAGGTACCTGAAATGCATGAGACACGTGGTGATGCAGAGGACCAGATCTCCAGGCTTTCAGTGACGGCTGAAGAAAGCAAATTGGGAAAGCATCCCTCTTTTGAAAGGTTAAAAATAAAAGGCCCCTACTGATACTCTTCTGGGGTGTACCAGCTATAATCCAACATCTTCTCCTCAAACCCTCAATCCTAAGCATGTGCCTCAGTATTTTAGAGGATGAAGAAGGTGCAAATCTGACTCTGAGAAGTCCACCTTTCTGCAATATGTCTCCTCTGAGAGCCACAGGTTCCTTCCAGACAATCTGGAGGCTCTGAGAGACAGGAGGGAACAAGGAAAGTCATAGTCGGCAAAGCCTGCCAGGAGTATCTCCTATGGAAAGCCCCTCGGGCCCTTCTTGAGCATGTGGACCAGCACTGGGTCAACACACTTGCTTTGGCAATTCTTGAACTTTGGAGGAGGTGACCGTACGTGGCTGGGAGAGGGCTTCTCATATCTGTTCCCTGACACCCAGGAGAAGCTCTGTTCCCTCCATATAATGCTTTGCCAAAAGTAGCTGCTGCATTTCTAAACTTCGCAAACTGACACATGGTGCAGCATCACTGCCCTGACTGTGTCACACAAGCCCAGCTGCATATTGAGGACTCCTCTCGTAGGGGTTTTAGCCACCCTCACCTCATCTGTTTGGATGTAGGGGGAGACGGGTTGATGCACCTATGGATTGCTTGGTCCCAAATTGGCATGGAAACTTTTTGGAGTCTATTAAAGGAAGGCCCTGACCAAAGTGAGCTGTGGGCGCTCTCAAGAGTGCTCTGGGACAAAGGGTGGTCAGAGGTAGAGATCTTTATCCCAGTGGTTTTATATCACTGTGGGGTGGAACTGGGAATGGCTACCAAGGAGGGTTAAATTAGACCAAACAGAGATGTATTCCCTCTGACTAGTTAGAAAGCAAATCTTGCCTCAAATGAGTGTGCTCTTTACTCTTCAATTCAAAAGGGAAATGTTCTCAGCAACTTAGTCTCTTGCGTGAGCTTACAAAATATGCCATTTTTTAAAAATATTTCTCTTGGTTTGAACGTCTTCCTGTTTCTTTTCCTAGCTGCCTGAATTGGTCTTACTATATGCAAAACCCCGAACAGAGCTTTACTCTGGGCTATGAGTTAGTTGTTCAGTTTTGAAAGAAAAAAAGGCATGTTTGACTTCTGCATCCAACATGATTAGAATAAATTAGGATTTTAGCAATTGGATTGAGCTCTCCCGGCACTCCTGGCAGGAGATATTTCTCTGTCCCCTCCATGCTCCTGCTTTCAGTTGACCATGCAACTGAAGGGCAGCAGTCTCTCATTTGTCTTCCCTTCCTAAATAAAGAGTTTGAAATTTTGGTTTCAATAACTCCATCTTTGTATAAAAAACTGTTAAGAATATTGTATAAGAAATCAGAAAACAAACTGATTGAAGTACAACAAAAAGGAAATTCAGATTTTACAGCTTAACTCGCCAACTAATCATCTTTGTGCAATCGCATCCTTCTCTGACAGCCTCTCAAACTGCCGTTGGGTTAATCTAGCACCCAGCAAGGTGAAGATTAGCCATATTCTTCTGGTGGGACCACCAAGAAACCTGAAGGCTGGCAAGTTTGAAGATAGAAAAGGGAATAAATGGCTAACTTGGAAATGGAAAAGTGTCAATGGCGGCGCAGTCCCGGAACTCACCAGCAGTGTTAGGAGGACTCATCCCACCAGCAGAAGGTGTTGGTGTCCGCAGGGGCAGGCTGGGGATGGATCCATTTCTCCACCCAGAGGCGATTTTCTACACCCACCCTCCTGTGAGCTGTAAGCCAGCCCCGCTCCCAGGCTGGTGGAGGCTGTGCTGACCTGCAGGACGGTCCATGGGGTGACAGGACATTCTGCAGGGCCTCAGCTGCCCTGTCAGGTCTCCAGGCCATGGCCAAATCTTGATGGATGCTCATCCACCGCTCATTCTCACACCGGCTCGTTTCAATGTCTATAGCCTCTTACTGCGGGGCTTGTGCAGCAAGGTGATCCTTCAACCCAACGGAATTCAGATGACCTCTCTGCCGTTTCCTGAAGTGTCTCCCCTTGTTTAACCACTGCTGTGTGATTTTTAATCGTCCTTGCCTGTCTCCTGCTGCAGTTGAGGGTGTCCGTGTCCTCTGGGTGCCCAGCAGCGCCGCTCTGAATGCCCGACCCGCTTTGCCATGGATCACCCCCTGCCAGAGCCACCCCCAGCTGGGGGCGCCCCCCCGGCGAGCGGGGTGTCCCAAGGCACTTCTCAACCCTGGAGACTGCAAAAGGGCTCCTAGAAAGGTTGACGTTGTGCATCGTGCATGTTCTCCTGCAGTACTGAAGCTACTATTGATTTGACTCCGATTTCTTTGGTTTCTCTTACCGGGCTTGAAAGAGGGCTCAGGGAAATCGACGGAATTTAGCAAAAGTCGGATCAGAGGTGGGGTGTTTCACATTACAGGAATAGAAACAAAAGGCGATCTTACTTCAGGATTTCCCGTTTGATGTGTTTGCCTTGGGGACTCTGTTCAGCAGAGGACTGACTTGTGCTCTGCGGAGCGGTGGAATCTGTTCCACCGTCCACCACTCCCACGGAGCTCCTCCTCAGCTCCTCCTTTAGCATCGGCAGCCAAAGCACGCGGGAACGCAACGGGTTTGGGCATCGGGGGTTTAATCCCTCTATCCAGGTAAAGAGGGACTACTGCTTGGCAGACACCGTTTCCAAAAGGGGGATTTGTCAAAGCTTCAGATGAGCCGCACAGGAGAATAAAAATAGCATCTGTGATTCTGCCGGCGAGAATAAAAGCCGCAGGAGCGCTCAATCCTCGTGCTACAGCCTGTAAACCCATCGCTAGCTGGACTCGAGCTCATTCCCCTTCGTAGTACGGTATCGCACAATTAGGTGCATCGTGGGTTTATTTGATACATTTCTGAAATATCTGCTATTTGCCGCTGTTGGAAACAAATGACTAATGCAGAGATAAGGATTAACCCGAGGGACAGACTATTCGTCTACGTTGTTATGAGAAAACTCAACAGAATAATCAGCTGGCCGGGTCATTCGTCTGGCCGGATATTTTGACAGCTCTGCTTGGGAAGGAATAAGAGCTCCTCCGATGGGGTTCCTGATTGCTGCACTGCTGTGACAGAGCGAATCGGGTGCGTTAGTGCCTCAAAAAAAAAAAAAAAAAAAGAAAGAAAAACAAGTGCTTGTGCTGCGGCTTGCTTTCTCACACAGCACAAGATGCCGAAAGATGGCAGAGGAGATTCCCTTTTCTTGCTGCAGCCCCTCCCCGCGGCGTGAAATGAGCAGTTTAACCCGGGAGGCAGACGCCGGCAGAGATAGCTGCAAACCCCACCGCCCGGGGACGCCGACTGAGGCAGCGCACGGGCGCAGGGAGGAATTTATTCATTAGGAATTTGCTGAAGCATGTAATGCTGCCGCGGTTCTGGTCGGTGCTATCAGCTACAGGCAACCTCGGTACGCTCAAATATCCACGGCTGCAGAGATACCTGTGCACAGGTTTGACACGACGGTACCGGAGACTGTTCTGTTCATGTTTACCACAGCAAATTAAATGTATCCCTACGGATGGTTACTGGGCTATAGCGGAGAGGTACAGCCCCTGTTCCGTAAAATAGTTTGGTGCATTGCCTTCAGAAAGTTTGGTCATTACCCGTTATTGTCTCACTACAAGACAACCTCAGCATGAAGTCCTCAGTAAGGAAAGTCTATAATTTAGGTACTAATTAAAGGGATCCCTTTTGACTGTCTAGACCCATTTTTCAGTCTCAAAAATGAAGATAATTGCTCTAAACCCTTTATTCCAGTGCTAAAATGGCTTTTTGGCTACCTAAAGTACACTTTGTGGCATTTGAGGGCTGATGCGTGCACAAGATGTGAGACTGATTGGCTCAGGTGCCTTGTTTTTTCCCCCAAAGCACTTCCAAGTTGAAGTTGGAATAGTTGAAAAAAGTTATGACCCAAACGCTTCACTTCTCTTTCACCGTGGCCTTTCTATTAACACTCCCTTTTGTCAGAAAAAGCGGAGAACGATCCCCCTTTGCTGACGTGAGAGGTTTTTCCAGTTGGGTCACAGCCCCCAGGGGTTGGGGAGGTGCTGCGCAGGCTGCTTTGTTCCCTCACCCCTTCCCCGACCTGCGCTGGGGGAGACCACAGCCCTTCTCTGTCCCTTTCTCACCCTTAAAAAACTCTTCCAAGGCCCCAAAATAGATTTTTTCTTGCTACAGTTTAGGACTGCTGCTTCTTGTTCTGTCCACCAGACATTAATTAATCCCTTCTTCTTGTCAGCAGCCCTCGTGGATATTTATAGGTTATCGCCCCGTCTCTGCTCCCCCCTCTCCTTTCCGTTCTGTAGCCCCAGAGGACCACCAGCATCTCCAGCCCACCCGCATCACTGTTGCGGGTTTCGCCCAGCGCTCAGCACTGGGGAGAGACTCCTTGAGTGTGACTGGGGTGACTGGGAGGGACTGTCGCTGAAGTGACAAGTGGGTGACAGTACCATCCTTGCAGTGATAGACACCATTTTGAGCACCTCAGGTTTTACCGCGCCGTTAAATGCCCCTGGGGCTCGCGGGAATGCGTAACACGCTCGGCAGCAGGGGGAGAGCGCGACTGCCGCGGGTGCCGGGAATACGCTCCACGAGGAACTCCTCAGCCCTGTGTTACTTCTCGCTGGAACGCGGGGACATCCCGCCAGCCTTGTCCCTACGGAAAATGCCGCAGGGGCCGGGCAGGAGGAAGGCGTGTGTTCAGGGCAGCCCCGACCAGAACGGAGCAACGTACTGCGCGTTCTGGAGAGGGAAACAGCGGTAAGGAGCGTTGGAGATGCCGCTTCATTCTCCAGGGGAGACCACCTCGTGCTCTGCAGGTGAGCACGATGCAGCTCCTGCGCATACGAGCGTGAGGAGTGAGTCCAGAGCGTGAAAACTTTATCTCAAATGTTTCACTTCGTGTGGCTCCAGAGCCAGCGAGCGCCCAGCCATCACCCCGCCGGGGCGAGCGGGGTCTGTCCTCTGCCCCACACCCCACGGGGCTCCTGTCCAGCAATGGCAATCGCTGCCCGAGTGCTCGCTGCCGCCTTGGCTTCATCTCCGCGCCGGCGCTGGCCTCAGCATCACTGCCACTCTCTGGGCTGGCCGGGAAAAGCAGAGCCCCGGCAGCGCGCGTCGCCTGGCGCTGGTGGGGATGCAGCCCCTCGCTCCCAATGTCACCCCCCGTCTCCTGCCGTCACCCTGCACTCCTGCCATCACCCCCCACTCCTGCCATCACCCCTCACTCCCGCTGTCACCCCTGGCTCCTGCTGTCACCCCTCGCTCCTGACATCACCCCTGGCTCCTGCTGTCATCCATCTCCTGCTGTCACCCATTGCTACCACTGTCACTCCTTGCTCTGCCATCACCCCTTGCTCCCACCGTTACCCCTTGCTCCTGATGACACCCCTTGTTCCCACTGTCACCCCTCATTCCCAGTGTTACCCCTCACTCCCGCCATCACCCCTCACTCCTGCTGTCACCCCTCATTCCACCGGCACCCCTCGTTCCTGACATCACCCCTCACTCCCGCTGTCACCCCTGGCCCCTGCCGTCACCCCTCACTCCTGCCATCACCCCTCGCTCCCGCTGTCCCCCCTCACCCGCCGGCTGCAGCGTGGGAGCGCCGAGCTCGGACCACAATGAGCCTCTTGCGTATGGGCTTGTTATCAACCTGCCGCGCACACGGACCGGGAAACCCCCGAACGCCCCCCCAGCTCCAGGCGGGGAGGCAACAATAATTTCATTACTATTTTTGGAGCGTAGGAAAAGGGAGCGTGAGCAAAACAGCAGCTGATGGTTGTGAGCGCGTCCTTCAGGCGAGCTGCGACACGGCTGCCCAGCAGACGAGAAACCCTCCTCTGACCCCGCGGACCCACATGCATGGTGACTTTCCGAAGCCACGTTCCATACGCAGCCTTTCCCACCTAAGATTAGGGAAGTGTGAAGTAAGACTGCCCCCCGGTAAGAAATGATAAGGATTTTGATCTATTAATCAGCGGTTTTGATGGTCTGAAGCCCAACCCTGATTCGTGCTACGAACACTCACACCGACGCTGGATGTGGCCTTTCGTCATTCACGGGGGCTGAGCTCAGTCGGGGGTCCGACTCAGGGAATGAAGTCCTCTAAGAAACAATCTTTCCTCTGGACCTACACTGGAAGAAGTCGTCGTGTCAGTGTTGGGCGCTTCGGGAAAAGGGGCCGTAAGTGTCCGCCACCGACCAGCGGGGCGCTGGGGGGGTGTACGCCGCTGTGTGCGAAGGTGGATGGGCACAAACAGTAGCTGAACTTCCAATTCTCTTTCAACCTTTTCTGTCCCCAAAATAAATCTTCAGCCGCTAATAGAAATAAAATGGTCTCTTTTGTTGTTATTTTCAGTGTTTTATATATTAACCACGACATTGAAACGGGCTGCTCGAGGACCACTGCGTTTCATAGGAAACAACCTTTTTTTTGGTTTTTCTTGTTGTTGTTGTCATTGTGTTTCTGTTTCTCTGTTCACTTACAATTACCAGGAAGGGAGTTTTGAGTTTAACGAATAGCCAAGCGCTAAAACATTTAGAAGTGATCTTATCTTTATCTGATTTCTGTCACTTTGTAGATTACTCAAATCTGTATTTCCCGGTGTCCCTCCGAGGATAATTGTAAGCAGTGTATTTCCCTCATCTCGTGTTTATCCACAGATCATCATAATTTGATTTTGAAATTTCTTGGGAATTACACCTTTTCTCAGGTTATTCACTGCCACGGGAGATCCAATTCCTCTGCACACCAAATAAAATTAGAGAGGCTGAGGAGAAAAGATTAATTTCCGAGACCTTTGACTCTCTTCCGAGCAGTCTGAAGGAGCCCCTGGTTTGCCTCCGTGCAGCCGTGTCACCCCGATGTAATAAGTTCTCCATTAGACTCTGATGGTGTGGGACCGCGGTGATTCACAGACTGTGCATCGGTGCCGCGGGATATTTGCCTTTTCTCACCCCGCAGCACTCGCTGTGTTGCTGCGATGGAGAGCCGGAGCAGCGCTGGTGGTTTGGCAGGCAAATGTAAGCAATGATTTTAAACCATAAAGTTGAAACGTTCGTACGTTCTGTGCGCTCAGGCTCAGCCCATTTCACTGTTATTCATTCCGGTATTGCCGGAGAGGCCGGGAGTGCGACGGTGACGGCAGCTAGCCGAGGCTCGCTCGGCTCCTCTCTCCTCAGAGCCATGGAAAGGTGGGGGAGAAGGGGACAGAAATAAGCCCACGGGTTGCAAGCGAACAAGTTGCTCACCCCGGGGACTGCCCGACCTGGGCCAGAGCAGGGAGATGCTCTCCGGCCTTTGCGGAGGTCGGTGCTTGTTTCTCCTCAGACGGTTACACCAAGGGTGACGCCTCACTCCCCGCTGCTGGGGGTTCCCTGCCACCCGCTGCCAAAGGCTTAATTTTTAATGAGGAGCCACCGACGGCTTCTTCTGCCCGGCAGAAGCGGCGGGTGCATGGAGGGCTGGTGGTGGTGTTGCGGGCGGTGGGACTCTTCCCACCTTCTCCAGCGCAGCACCCACTGGGGTCCCAGCGCCGCGCTGGGCACCCGCTTCCCAAAACCCCGGCAGCAGCCACGGGACCGGGCTCCTCTCCTCCTGCCTGCGAGCAACCCCGTGCCATTTCTGCCGAAGACAGGAGAAGGGCCCCATCCCAGGGGGTGTCCGTGGGGCATCTGGGCCCGACGCTGCCGCCCGTCCCCCCGGAGCCGCTCTCTCCTCTCCCC